AATACACAGTTGTCCAAAAAAACGTTGAGAGATCTCAGAGGGTAATTCCCTATGTCAGAATAAAAAAGTTCCTACGGTTCCCATGACCGAAAATGAATCTTAGGAAGCTAGAACCATAAATCGATCTTATTAAACGGTGCGATGTAAATCAGGTAGTAAATCCGAATCTAGCAAAAAAATTAAAAAATTTTCTTCCAAAGCAAAATTTGACGCCTTAAAAAGTTGACTTCAGTGTACCCCTTCTCCCCTAAATAGTGCAATAGATTCAGCCTCAAAAAGTTACTCCAAATGCACTTTTTTGTAAATCGATGTCCAGAGAGCTCTAACTCCCTTAGGGAAGATTTCCGGACATAAGTCCAAAAAAACACTTATTTTTCGACGATATTATGTCAGTGGACTGCGGAAGAATTTTGACCAAACTTAAAACAATTTTAACTCATTAACAAAATTGAAATAGAAATTCAAAGGGAGAATTGTAATCTTTTTTTGTCAAAGAGTTACTCCTTTTTTGTGCACTTATTTCAATTTCGCCCGGTGTATCTATAGGTAGAACCAAAACAATCAAATAAAGCGAGAAAACAATTAGAGAAAAATGCAAATGGATTTATAAATAGGTCAAAAAACAAGAGAATGAACAAATAACAGTATAAACGAAAAATACAACAAATGAGATTACAAAAAAAAATAATAAGGAAAAAATGGTATATTATTAAGAATATGCCATTCTAAACGCGTTCCAGACTACGACTAAAATTTAGAAACAATTTGAACAAATTTATACAAATATTTAAATTTGTGACCATTCTATGAGTATTCTGTTTAATAAAAATCAACCAAGAAGATTGTTATTCTATAATATTCGTATAAAAAAGTTTTCACTGGTAGTTGTAAAGTAGGATTTGATCTTCGATGTAATAAAAAGCGGATCATGTACCGATCGAAATCTGTCAATTTGGCCTCAACAATTCGTTGAAATAGTGTTGGTGTGAAAAATGCTGATTGTAGATACCCGCCTTGAATATCAATCACTCAACAATATAGTTTCATTATTGTATCAGGTTGTATGTATAAGTAATTGCATTGTGTGTTTTAACAATGCGATCTTCGGTCGGCCAGTTATTAATCGTTGTCCCATTATGTGTTTTATTGAATGCTGCCGATGTACACGTCTCGTTTTCTATGCATAGCGACATAATGAAACATGCCAGCAATATACGATTCGAATCTATCGACCGCTTCGAGGACTTAACGACCCTTATAATACCTCATCTCGATATTTCTCAAGGTCCTCGTGGCGTCCTCCACACTCGTGGGAAATGCTCGAGAAATAATTTGACTGTGTGTTCATAATTCTTCCATCGACGGACGTTCCGGGATTTATGTCAGTTGAGACGTGAGTCCGATAAATAATTGACCAAAGACACCCATCGCAATGAGTGCTCTCAGTAGCGAGTTTTCCGCTTCAATCTTCCTAAGTAAATTCAATTTAGTCCGTTTGAAGTTTTGGGATTTTTCAGTCGAAAACGACTCGATTCGGGGTCATTTCAACGGAACGCATTCAGCTGTCACAACTTGGCGTCTGCTGACCACTTTAATCTTTTGGAAGTTATCCAGTTCGAAAAGTTTTCACCCTAATTACAAGTGTGAGTCAAATTTATTCAGCAGGTGCGTTGTCCATCTCGGAGAAAACCGTAAGAGCGAGTCCGGTGACACTGATTCCTTCCACGATATCTGAATCGAGCGAATTTCTGCATTAAACATTTTCAGTCGGAAAGGTTGATTTTTATCTAAAGAGGGTTATTATGCAGCGCTTCGAAGACTGGGATTTATGCGACGTCGGGGTCAAAATAACGGCCAAATACTCAAATCGATCAGAGTTCGACCTTGGTTTAATTAATGAGCATTAAACGCATCTCCTGCGAGATGATTTAAAACACAATTTATCGCGAGACATTTTAATAGCATTCAATTATTAAATGTTATCACAATGTATCGAAAAATCGAGGCGCCAGCACGACTTACGCTTTTTTCCTCCCAGTAATTGAATTTTTTACAAAGTGTTTCTCACTTGCTCTTGTGTGTTATTATTTTAAGTACAGGTAATGTCTAGTCCGCCTCCCTTCGTGAACTTAACTTATTATTTACAAAATACACTGAAAAAATCAACACGAAATTTTAATTTATGAGAGAGGAGGAAAGGAATGGTCCTTGATGGATGCCTTGCGGGAGTGACTTGCAACTAACCGCCATTATAAAGTTAAAAGTGCGACTTTTTGCACCATCAAGTCAGCAATAAATCAAAATAATTATTTGTCGAGAAAAAATCGAGGATAATATGTAATTTCAGCTGGTAGCTTATAACTCAATTATGATGGTTTAATTGTTGAAAATAATTGTAGATTTGGACTGGGTTACAGTTACCCATTATGGGCATTAAGATGATCTTTCGTACCATCCGAATTTCCACGTAATCGTTTCTATTGTTACACGTACGGTAATAGTAATTTATCTAATTATTGTGATGAGAAAAATTTCGTCCGAAAAAAGTTCAACGACCACCAACCAGTAAGTCACTGAGTCAAATGCGATTTTTGCTTTCCTCGTTACCTGCTTTTGTCAATTTTTCTGAAATCGCCACAAATCACGTTCTTTAATCCACCGTAACGGTACAGACATTGTTTCTGTAAACGATGAAAAGATATCCTTTCCAATATAATGGAATTTTTCATCGACTTTCGATGCATAGTCAAGATTACGATCCACCACCGGCATTCTTCATAACTACGAGGAAACACTCTACCAAATTGAAAATGGTAATAAGATAGAGGCAGGCGCTACTTCTAACTGCCAAGATAAATCTTGCAATCGATCCGCAGGGCCTAAATTACAGTTAATAGAGTCGCCGCTCGCGTCTAGCCCCTTCGGAAAAAAGCATTCCGACGGACTTTACTGGTAATGTTCCGTTCGCGACCTACATAAACAGCCGACAGTTAGTCACAGGAAACATATCAAGGGCGATTATCGATCACACATGACTCACTGATCCTAACTGTTGTTTTACTATAGACAAGAACCCCGAATTTGGACAATGACAATAGAACACACAAATCTATCCGACAACAATTTAGACACAGTCGAATGGCATAATTACGGTAAAACGCATTAAAACTAATGGGAGATCGATGCAACTGATGGGTTTCAACGGTTCTTAACGATTTACGCATCTGACCACAGACATTGTGACTTTAGATGTAAACAACAGACGCAATTTTGCAATTCTACAACTTTACGTGACTAAAGAAACCCGGTTTTGCTGACAACAAAAATCATTCAGATTCGAGTTTCCCGTTTCACCACGTTGTTGTTTCGTCAAAAAACCTCTAAATACGTGTAAAAAACCCCAAGAAAATATCTTCCTCAGTTACCCACTCATATTTCAAGTTTTTATACAATTGTTTCTGATATAGTAACTATTTCTATATAAATCCCTATTACATCTTGACACAATTAGAAAAGTAACTTTCTTTTGTAATTGACTGTCAAAAAAACTCTTACGAGTAGAATTTTAGAAAAAGTGCACCTCTACTTCACGACCATGCAAAATTTCAGTTTTTTGTGCCTAGCCGTTCAGGAGATAGTGATTAGTTAATAAGTAAGCAATCTGTTAACAATATTTTTTATTAATAACTTGATAATTTTTATTCAAATTAAACCTTAAGTCTTTTCGAAGCATTAGTGGAGTTTTGAATTTTACATAATACAAGAATAATCAATCAGATCAAATAATCCAGGTGGCTCAATGATGTTTCAGAATCCAAAGAATATGTGTATAAAAGATCTTGGTTAGGAATTCCATTACCACTATTACTCTTCTGTTATTCGCAATGTTTGAACTTGGTATTGAAGAAAAATATCTCACATTTCCAAAAAATCTGTGTTATTTTAATGATTTGCAATACCAGATAGGTTTGAATCACATTTTACAACTTTTCAGCTGTGGTGTGGTCTAAAGACCGAAAGAAACTTTATTTTCAAGATCAGTTAATATTTGACCAGCACCAAAATGTTTGGCTTAACTTTCAAAAGGAATGTCGTTTAAAACACAGTTTAGAAATAAGTTGATAGTTTTTGTGTTGGTTGTTGTGGAATCCATTACTTCGTGCGCCCGCTGATAGAGGCTTTGCATCGATACATCGATTAAACTAATCACCGATCTGTCTCCCACGCTTCCAAAATGGTTTCGTTGTAATTTGCGATCGTAGGATGCGTAATTAAATCGAATTTAACGGGATTTCAGCTCATAGATCAATCTGTCCTTGCAACGTGCATCCGAACAGACGTTTCTCCGGTCGCGTTTTAACGCGATGCCGACCGCTTTATTCAAATTAAATCAGTTTCTCTGATAAATAAAGACGTGGGAAAATTCGCTCGACAATTTCCTGTCTTCTCGTGAAAAATATTTCTAACCGTACATGACAAAACGGCGGGATTATTAAACATATACAGACAAAGTACCATTTGCATTAATGCGATTACGATTAATTCTGGTCGAGGAGTCGTCAAACAGGAAGACCAGACCTTTGGCTCGAGGCGAGGAATTAAAGCGAATTTGTGTGGCGCATCTTTCCGATTAATTAAAAAATACGAAGTCAATACAGGATAAATAATTGACTCTAACTAAGGTGAATTACGGTATTTAAACGCAATTAGGGCCGTTATAAATTCATAGTGGTGCTGTAATTCTTCAACTGGTCTATAACGATCCGATGGATTCTTGTCGACTAATTACCAACCAGATCGATTTGCTGGAAGATGACATATAATCAACTAGTCGTACACTTCGATGGAATTCTAACATTGACAAGAAAATGCGGAAAACATCCACTGATGGAGCCATTGTAGACACACAGAACTGCCATAATTAGAATTTAATCCATTCAACACACAACAAGACATAACTGTTCAATAAATCATCTCACAAATTTTTTCTCTTGTTTCAGGGTCCACATTCCATATTTGAAAACCTAGACCAGGTGAGTACCACGAAAAATTGGCGTAAAAACGCTCAAATACTGCGTCACGCTCTATTCGAAACATTTAAAAAGTCGACAATACTCTCAAATTACATGCTTTTATAGTCTAAAAGCTATATTTAATTTATTCGGCGAATGTTTCAAATTTTCGGAAACATGCTAATGAAAACATCAGAATGCCACCAGAACAAACAAAATTCAAGAAATCCATCCAAACAGAGTACCATCTTCTACAGTTACTCTCAATATCTATTATCTCAAGATCCTGGAAATCAAAAAAACAGCCCACCGCAACATTACAAAGACCTCCAAAACAACCATTTCTATGTTCCATGAACACTTCTCGGACTTGCAAGCTTGAAAACAATCAGCTTCTAACGGATGTCCATCCATTGGAACCACAACACTGCAAGAACGTGTTGTGACCCATACTCCCTCACAATTAACCAATTTGTTACATCATCGTCGACGTTAAAAACACTTTCATGCTACTTGACTTAGAAAAAACTATCTCTCTCGTAGCCGGTGCACAATGACAGGACGAGTAATATAAGCGAGGCAATGTTTGATAGCGGTCATCATTGTCCGGTCGAACATCAGACAACTTTAATTAGTCGTTGCATATATAAACGTTTTCACTCGTGTCTTACGATAGGTAATGGATGTTACTTCAATGAAACGTTGATGAAGACCGTGTCATTATAGTGTTAATTACGATCCCGGTGGTCGCTCCCTCCTGCATTGGATAATTCTAGTCAATACGTTCCGACGACATTTATTTGTTTATTTAAAAAAAAAAAAACTGTATTTTTCGTATTTTCAAAATAAAATTAAAAAATCAAAATTCAATTAACCTTCTCTTTTTCTTATATTTTTAGAAAGGTTATAAAAATACTCATTTTCTATTCATTCATTTATTTATTTGTAACGCTCCAAACATTCTAATTAATTTGCTATTCAATTATTCTCGCCGCGAGCGTTCGACCAGTGTTTGAATCGCGTGCAAATCCCAGAGTACCGTTTGGTGCCCAAAATAAATAACCTTCAACCTATATCTCGATAAGTCACCACAACCACGCTGAGCGTTATTAATTGTGCCGACCACCTGGTATCTCCTTGATGGATGTTTCATCGACTCCAACCGGTCTACAAAACGGTACATAAATTCGATGGACACTTTAAGACAACCAAAATTTTGTTTACCATCCTCTCATTCAGTTTTATGGTTGACAATTTAAAGTCACTAACAACCAAATATAGTTATAATATCTTAATTAAATCGTCGTGTTGGTCCACAAAACGGTATTGTTGTCAACGATAAAAGAGTCGACGTTCCGCATCTTGGAATAAATTTGGCACGTAATCGGCACGACCTTCCCCTCTATACTCGGTTTATAGTACAAATAAGCATGTTTGACTCCGTGAAATACAGACTCCTGGTTGCACATAAATATATGCGTATTTCGGTAACCCAATCTCGTTTCGTATTCGACCCGAATACGTAAAAGACTCGGAAATAACGGAGGATCGATCTCGGTGCATAACAGTTTTTCACGATTGCATTTAATCGACCAATTTGCCAAGATACTCAAAATCAAATTGACAAGCCAAATGACTACAAATTATCCACGATTAGTACGAGTACAGTTACCTGAACCACCACCCACATAAAACAATTAGCTAAAATAAATCCAATGGTTCAATAGTAGGTTAATGGTGCACACGGACCTCAATAACAATTCTACTTACGTGTTGATAATCATAGGAAAGCAATTAAATCGCGGTTGCATATCATTATAATATGCCGTCGATTATTATTAATCGCATGTCGCCCAACGCGGGGCATTCCAAAGTAGCCGCATAGCGTCTCGTCCGAAGAGAAAATGCGTGGATAAAAACGAGCGAATAGATCGGGGCAAAAGTATAGATCGTGTTCGAGGAAGAATCGTGCAAAAACGACGAATTCCAGCGTCGCGACGTTGGTAGCCCGACCGGACGTACACTGAATTGATATTTATGTATATTCATGAGCATGCATGAGGGCACTTCTCAAAACAAGCAACAAGCAACTAATTCACCCTCAATCATCGATCAACAAATTTCAGCTTTACCTAGTGTCTCCAAAACTAGAAATTTGATCTGTGATCGACTTGCCGTATCGGTTATCGATAATTGTACCATAATATAACCCGGCAGGCGATTAAACCCGATATCCAGATTTCTGTTTCCCACATGCATAAAATAATTTGTTTAATGGTAACGGCTCCGGCACCAGTGATCTGCATACCGGCACGACCAGAAGGCCGCCACTGCATACATGCAACGTTAATTGATGTATTATTGTAGTGTTCAGCTTTAGCAGGTTTGTTTATAGACTGGTTTGCATATTCAATATCGGCGTTATTAAATTAACTATAGAGAGCTTTGCCACAAAAGACTATGCGGAAGATTCGAAGAGGTACTTGACACGAACCCTTTAATCCGTCCTTGGAACGGCCGTACGTTGCTTAATGGGAGAGCACGACATTCGTGCTACCATAAACTCCACGTTGTTAAAGTTAATCGCTCGTTGAAATTTCTCTCGCCAGGTAGGTGTTTGCCTGTGTCTAATGAAGTTTTACGACGGTTTTTCGGTTATTAGCAAACAATTTCAAACAGCACGATTCAGTGATCTATCAAGAGTGTAGATTCTAACCTTGCGATGGGTTTCTTTAAGTTAGTGCGATCTTAATCAAGCATTGTTTATGAGATAATTTCATTTCGTACGCTGAGCTTCGTCTGGTTCGCAATGAGCCAATTAAGGTCTGAATCAAAGTACGATTAATACAACTGCTCAAGTGGAAAATTAATTCGTTTGTTGCACAGATCGAGTTCTTGCCTCAATTATACACCTTAACCGAATTAGTCAATTTTTAAACGTTATTTATTGATCGTAATTACACCAGCAAACATCATCTATTACTTATGAGCCACACGCTGCTTTATAGGTCAATTAAAGTCTCCACTTCCTTAAATAATCATCAATTTCGAGGAAAATCAGCGCATTGATCTCTGCAAGTTTTTATTCCGCAAGAGCCCATCCTTCCCAAGTCGAGATAACGGTGTGCCATTCATTAACGATCCACAAACGACCATCTACATAATTATATTCCGTAATGCTTAAACTCAAAATAATAACTCACGTTGATTTAATTAAAAAAAACGTACTCTAAAGTACTAACTAGTTTCGATTAATGGAAAATATCCAATCGGGATCATTATGTAAACTAAACCACATTACAACACGAGGCCACAAATCACCGCTACTAGTACTCCACATGCTAAACTAGCATCGGCAAGTAGTACCTCGATTAATCAAATGATCAACGATTGTCATACCGTATACAACTAATCGCTACATAACATACAAAGACTGATTTACACTCGAATTCACTAGACTTTTCAACAACATTACTTTATAAAATGACACGGAACGCAAATTTCATAATTAATATTTACCACCAGAAAATATATTCCAGAGATAGTTAACCGGATTAAAGCAATCACTATTAAAATAGTTATATAAAAAGAGTGATTCCATAAAATTATAATTGCTGCTAGTTACAAATGATAATTTATGTGCATTTCCCTTGTAACAAGCGAATTAAAAACATAAAACTGACTCAAAAATCGTAATTGCCAAGATTCCAAAAACAACACGAAAATCATGTAGACAATCAAATTTAACTCCAATAAATCGATACAACCATTTCCAAAATCACCATTAACCACCATAATCAAAATTATTTCTTCGACTCTATGTATTTAAAATCCAAGGGATGTTTAGCACCTTACAACTGATAACTCAGCTCAACCAATTGCAAAACCCATATATTTCGCCTATTTGTTCGCAAAAAATAATAATCAAAAATAAAAACACTAGCTTGTTTACAACACTGCAATAAAATAAAATTTAATCTGGAAAATTCTACTAGTCAAAAAACCATTTCCTTTACGTATGAACACTAAAAAAACTTAAAAGAATTTTTTAATGCACAGTTTAAGAATACGAAGCTGAAACCATTCTCAAAACTACATAGTAAGCGTAGATACTAGCATAATCTCAAAAAAATAAAATAAAACAAAAGTGTAGGTGGTAAAACCACCAGATGTTTAACTAAATAAACCTTTCAAGTAGAATAAGGTATCTAGATTTAGATCTCCACCGAACTCCAAGATTTTTTTTTATTTGAAAAAAACATTATTTTCGAGTAATTTTGCAAGTCTGGAGTGCCACCTTGTGTATTATAATCTATCACGTACTGTTGCAAAAAAAAATATTCAAAAATCAAATTGAATTTGTAGCAAAGCGTCGTCGTTCCGTCCGACAAACTTTGCGGTCTGTTCACAACTCAATTGATAAATTCAGACGCGGTTGACGAAATTAATAGACTCTAGGAAATAATTTGGCAAAGGCGACGAAGCATGACACTCTAATCCAGTGTGAAAATTTCCAATTTTTGCCTCGTATTGTAACTGTATTCACAGAAATGTGTTGTCCATTGACAGCACAAGTCGCGGAACTCGGTAACGACGTGTGGTGCATCCAATGTATGCACCGTATATACAGATACGTATCGTTTATTATACCTGTGGTAATAGCCGACAAGCGGCTTAACGGTGCGTTGCTGTTATCGGCAACGTCTTTAAGTCCAGAAGGCCGTACTTAATGCCTTGTGCCAGCATTGACAGCCTCTGGAGATTGAGCGGCAGCGACAAATGACCTACGTCTTCTCCCACAAAAAAACAACAAATTCAATTTCAAACGCAGATCGTATCGGTTTGAAGCTTCAATCGAGCAAGGTTTTAGTTGGCGCCCAACGCGGGGCCGTGGATCTTTTCTTGGTCGTTGTCCTTCCGAGTCCAGTGCACCGGCCAGTAATTAGTCGGGTTGTTCTGCATGGCAAAGCCGAAAAAATGCGGCAAAAAGTATACCCTCTGATGTGTAAATGCATCCGGCCACTTTTCACGAACTAGCCACAAAAAGACTTCATTATCATACTCTGCGATAAATGCGAACTCTATTTGAGTAAACATTGTTGCATTTATGTACTATACAGTAATTTCTTTGAATAGTGACTCACAAGTCCATACTAATGCCTTTCGGGGGTCCGAAATGTGCAACCGAAACAAGTTCCATACTAAAAAACGCGTTAAATTTTGAATGACCCTGTATAATGGGTAAAGGTCCGATTAGACGGCGGCTTGTGGCGTAAATTAGCGTCCACCTGAAACTGAAAGTTATGCGGGCATTCGCGGGGTCATCAAGGTCCTGGGACACACCACCTTTAGCCCGAGGTAATGTCCTGATAATTGATATGAAACGTGCAGGTCACTTTTACTTTTCCAGAGTCAATGTCATAATGAGGTCGAACAAGCCAAGACGGAATAGTACTTTTACGTCTGTTGTTCGTGTCGCAGCGAACAAAAGGACTAAACAAGGAAGTAGTAGTCTCAATAATTAATGACCTTTGGTCAAGAACGGCAACATTTGGAGCATCAGTACTCACAAAATGAAAGTAATTAAAACATGGACTTCTTTTGAGACGAGCAACTTATGCAGATTTAATAACTGATATTTAATGGAATGATGGATAGGAAAATTGTAATGCAAATAAGAATCTAGCAATTAAATTGTCTCGTCACGTAATAAAATCTTCATTTACCGTTGCGCTTAGAACATCTATATTTACCCGCAATTTCCTGGAATCATATGGAAAATGTCTATTTATAAGCGAGGCAATGGCATGACTGGCCAACAATGCAACAAACCGACCCGTGTAATATTTATTATTCGATTAATTAATTCACTAAGGTAATACCATTCAAGCACGCATCCTACAAGGTTCTTTACATTCCAATATTTCCAACCAATTACAAAATTACTTAACCATAAGTATCGCTTGATATCATTCGCATATGCTCTTTGTGTCCCAATTTGAAAATGGAATTTTAATCGAGATGAATCACAAATGCAAAATCCTGTGGTTGCCGTCATCACACATCATCATTTTTTCGACGAACTAATATCGAACCGAAGGTTCACCAACCTAACCAAATTAAACTTTTTCAATCTATACCACAAACTTTTCGCACTTTGGGCTAGACAAACTCTAGATACTTGGCCGTTGGAATTTATTCAGATAGCTGTCTGATCATGCAGGCGTGCAGTTGTAAGTCATGTTCGGCCTGTCGTACCAATTACGTCAGTAACAAATAGTCCAAGTCTCGCCCCTTGGGTTCTACATCGCGGAACGTCATGAGGTTGCAGCGAAGAATAGGTTCCGGAAGTCCAACGGCAGACAAAAAATTCTGACGCATTTTGCACTCGTAGCTGTCTTCTAGTTTATTTCCCAACTAGTTGACAAAAAAATTAAACTTTTATAAAACAACATGATACAAACTTTTTATGAGTAGTAATACTTGAACCATGCTGTATGCAACCATTAAATAAAATGTTTCTAAATTTGACTATAATTTAAACAGTAAAAATTTATTCAAATATCAAAATATTTTTTTTATATTTAAAACCAATGGGGCTCTTTACCGGAAACGCTGCTTCTTTTCGGGGAATGAACAGAGGCGTATCCGAATGCCCAGTGTAATAACACACCTAACATCCGGATAATTGCACACCGCTCCAGTTGAAATTAACCTTTATTATGTTATCATTTAATTATAATAAACGTAGTTTTTTTTTTGAATGTAAATTGAAATACGTGAGTCGAGATATCATTTCTGGTATAAATGAAATTATGTTCGAACAAAATCCTGAATTGGAGACGTAAATTCCCCTTGAAACCGGCTCGTAAACAAGCGAAACCGTTGGCAAGTTTATACTCGCAAATATTTAAAATGATATTGATAATAGTGGCAGAGAGCTGTGTACATTACAACGTAGGCACATAAACTATACAAGATCACGAACGTTGACAGCTGTAAATAATTAACAGATATGTAAGAGAACTGTAAACATGATCGTAAACTTCCTGGCGCACCGTGCGAAAGTAAATCAATTGAAGATACGTAGGTGCACCTACGACAAAGAGACACTCTGATTTGTGGAAAGATTGCGTTCTGAAATTTTTTACGCTGAGACTAACGGACGCCACGGCTTACAGCGTTACAGTTCGAACAGGTTGCGATGTAAATTACACAACGTGCCTAATTATTGTTCCGAGTAATTTGATGGCAATTGTTCCTACAGGTACGTTTCAATTATTCCGCATCCTCTTCAGGAATATAACGTTATTCGATAGTAATTAAAGTAACACGCACGTAGACCAAACTGGACAGTGTACCACTTTATTTTTCAAACTTTATTCTTGACTTTTCTTATTTTGTTCCAGATAGACCATGAGCTGGCCCAGAAGACTGCTTTTCGCCATGCTAGTCGTAGCGGCGTACACTCACGGCCTCGGCGAAGATGTGGACGCGGAAATCGTCGAAGCTCCAGATAAGTTACCGGCACCGCCTCCGAGCCCTTTGGATGACTGCGATCCGGAACTCATCGGATTCGAGTTAATAACCGGTTACGTGTTTTCCGCTCCGGGAAACGTACTCGATTCGATACCGGGCACTCTGATGCTCACCGATTGTTTAGAAACGTGCCAAGGAAACGACTCGTGCCAGTCGGTCAACTACGAGACCGGACTATGCGTACTTTTCAGTTCCAACGCTGATGTCTTGCCAGGTGAGTCGAGAAAGCTCCAAGCTCTAGCGGCGAGCTTGAAACACTTACACACTCCGATGACCAAGATATGCCCCGAGAATTCAATTTCCCAACGATTTTTACCAAATGATGAAACTCAATCCTGAAAGATTACGAACGCCATTTATGGCAGCACCTACTTATCGCGTAGCACTATCAACAGGATAGACACTAATACATCTTCCATAAACCACCACTTGCAGCTTTATGTGATGCCTATTTCTGTCTCCAGAAATATATTCGTCAAAAAAACACATCACGATCCGAATTGCTCTGGTTTTAAGAGCCTGTTTCATGATTGTTAGATTTCGCTAGATGGCAAGAGCGTTGCCACTCTTCTTCCTAGCCACCCGCAGCTACAAATTGGCTCAGCCAAATGTCGCGAGCTTTGGTCGGTTCATGTCTATACGTAATTAAATCCCCTCTCATCGTGCACACAAAGCTCCTCGTCTGTTGTGCAATTTTAACGGGGGATAATTATAAATTACAGCAATTTGTGGTAAATTGCATCTCGTCGCGTTGCAATGGGCAATTAAATTTTCGATATAGTTGAGTGTGGATGTTTTATTTGTTCAAGTGTCTGTTAACAGAAAGGTGATAAGTCTTTCGCACGTGAAGTCACGGACAGAGTAATTTTTCCCCTTTGGTAGAAGCGAAGATGGCGACATTATTCATCGAGTAGTCCCTAATCAAGAACGTTTGCGTGTTCGACGCGCATGACTCCTGATGAAACATATCGGGCATCCGACACACAAACACTGAATGTCAATCGATTTGTTCCCACGCTGGAATACACTAACATGCGTAATCGGAAGATAGCATCTTGCATGACAACGATCATGCTGGAAAAATTCCAAGTCTAGACGATGAAGACGAATCATTGATGTCATTTCATATTGTCAAGCGACGATTTACGGATGAGAACTCCACCACTCCTCGAGACTCTAATAGCAATAATTTCGTTGCACCTTCATCAAACTCTATATCCCTCGATCACTTTATACCTACTCTCATTTAGCCAACTACGTACATACATCATTTGCCGACTTAATCACCGGTATTGCAACACTATTATTTACGACGTCAAATTCTCCTTAGACACAGTGACCCATTACCCATTGTCGTGACGTTTCTTCCATCACTTCGGACAGCTAATAATAATAACCTATACCAGCGAGTAACGTCTCGTTCCAGTTCCATCACAAAATCAAAAAATGGCGAAAATACGATGTTCTCTTCGCTGTTAATTACATCGATCTCTTCCAAGTCATGAAGTTTGCCAATAAGTCTTTGTTTCACCACACGACCTCTGTTACATCACGATTCCGCTTCAACTGTCATGTCCGACACAAGTTCGTACAAAATCTCACCGCCTGAGGGTTTTTTTCCGACCTCATTAAACGGGGAGGTCCAGGCCACCTACAACACACTCGAGATGATAACACTCGGGGCGGTAACTGACACATACACGGTTTCTTTCCTTCGAGTAGGTGGACAAAATGAAGTTTGAGCTTTCAATTAAGCTCTTTAAAGTTGTTTCAAACTTAAATATAAGTAAAAACTCAAAATTCAAGTACAAATATAATTATGTCGAACGTTTTGTTTTTGCCGCCTTATGATTTCTGCTTCGTCTATTACCCCACAAAACAATCGTCGTAATGCCAATTTTCCGGCATTATAGCGTCCGTTATTTTTATCCAGTTAAGCACACAAATCAATTTTTGTGTGTATTTGTCGTTTTTCGTGTCTGAAAAATCGAAATCTAATCTAATTAGAATCCGGTATAGGGTCCAGTAGCTTTTCCTCTCGTGCTCGTACACTCGAGCAATTCATTAAACAAACATATGGTGGCCCGTTGAGTTTATACCGGATGAATACCCGTAGGCAGGCCTAATATCGACATCATAACATGCAGATTGGGACACATACCCACACATCCCTGACGAGGCTTTAATTTGCACGTTTCCATCAAAACGCTCGCCCGTGGCTGCACCGTAATTAAACTATTCCCTGTCAATTATAGAAACACAACGCTTCATTATCACGATATGTGGGAAAAAGGAATTTGACAGAGTTGAATTTGTGAAAAGCCTCAAGGTACATACAGGACTTTGCCCTCAATGAAAAACACTGCGTTTTTATGAAAGACCTTGAATATATTCCAAAAAGAAACAACAAAATCTCCATATTCATAAAATACTATTGTCACCAATGACGAAATCCTAATTTTTAACATAAACTTTGAAACTTTATCTCATGACTTAATTTTCGCGATAATAATAATAAACCTTGTAGATGTCTTAAATCATTAATATTTTATCTCTAAACCTTTTTTGTTTTAAAATAATAAAAAATGTTGTGTTACATAAATCAAACTTCCATTAGTTTCTAAAAATCTTGGGAGCTTATGTAAAAATTTTACTTTTTCCTAAGAATTTTAAAATATATATTAGGTACTCTAGAATACAGCAAACTTTTAAAAATGAAATGTTTTATTAGATCCTTCCCAGCAGTCCTCGTGAAAATGGCTTTCAAAATCTTAATATCCTAAAGATGTATCCCAGGATACTGTTTCAGTTAAAACTGTTTCTCAATATATCTTTTAGATACAAATTATTGCACCTAAAATCCCTTAACTGACTATTTCATAAATCATAACTATTCCACAATGCTTAAAATGTTCAAACTTGGGTAAAGATAACGGTGAGAAAAAGGAAACCTTTAATTAATTTCATGTTTCTCACAATAAAAGATCAGTTTTTTTTTGTAAAAGTCAAAATGCCGCGACTCTTAGTTTTCTATCGGTTTTTAACACAGAACACAGGCATTTAGCATTTCCCATGTCAGGAATAAAAGACTTTCTGAATGAGTTGGTGCTTGTTAATCGATGCATGAGAGTCAAAGGGGCGTTACTAAACCGATTTCGTAAGTGATTTTATTCATGGTAAACAGTTGCTAACCAAGTGGTTTGGTCAGTTTTAACGGGACTAGTCCCATTAGTTAAAATATGCGATTTGTTAGCGATTGTTGAATTCAGACGAAATCGCGCACGTAAACACAACGACATCCGAATTAAAAACGAATTATTCGAAAATAATTGCTTTAACAGCTCAAGAAAAAAGTGTAAACCAAAGTCATGATTAAAATGGTCGTGTGAGGTAACAAACCGTTTTCTTCCTCTTGTCGCTTTTGAAGAACATAATCCGTGCGGTGCAACCTTATAATTTACAGTTTACTTTTATGAATTTGTTCTTTGTTTTCCAGTTGATATAATGACAGGTCGCTAAAATTTCTCAGATTCTAATTCAAAGTGAATTGCGGTTTACATCTCGTTCGTTTGTCGGAAAAAAAACAGTGCTTATAATTCCCGCGTAATAAGAGCATCGCTTACAAATAATAGTACTAACAAGTTCAACTTGAATCACGTACGAGCAAATGATTTTTAAAACATTTAAATAATTACGACAATTACGTGGTTCGCACAAAAACCTAACCACGATGGAACGTTGATAAATTCGTGCGGTTGCCTTCCTCTCCGAAAAATAAATTCAGCACATTTGAATTGAACTCTCGTGTATTGGATTTTGCGTTGTCGCGAAAAAGTCGAACGGACCGCTTCTGTGCAATGAACGTAACTAAAACGAACACGTACAAAGCTCGGCTCACGTTTTAGATACTGTTGGAGAATTTCTTGGATTTGTTTGACAACAAAATCACTGAACGGTATGAGAATGGTTTACTTCTGCATCAAGGCTGATTTTTTTAGAAAGAGGATGGATGGTAAGCGGGACACGTCCGGGTGCGATTTTTCTTTAAGGACACAAACTATTCGATGATGCAGTTACATTCTTCTAATTCTTAATTTTAATAGAATTCCTTAAAAGATTCCACACATTTACAAGATTTAGTATTATTCGCTTTTAAGCCAAAAAAAAACATCCAAACATTCTCTTTCCACAACAAAATTTTAAAAAGCCTCTCCCTATTTCTTCATTTCTCTTATTCAATCATTCTTATTTAAAGTCTTCAATACAAAATTATGATTTTGCTAAAAGTTATCTACATGATCTTCGTTTTCTTCTTCAAATCCCAAAGAACATTTATCTAAAAGTTTTCAAAACCAAATAAACTTAGTCTTCAGTTAAAAGTTTGTCTTATTCTCAACCGAAACACGTGTCGTGATGAAAATAAAAGTTTGGTATTTTTATAAAAAACGAGTTTGATTCATTTTCTGCCCCAAAAAGCCCAAATGTGTAGTTAAAAGTCGATGATAATAATTTAGCGATACCGAAGCTCATTGGTGTGTGTTAATTTTCGAGTTTCGAATCATTTATTTTACAAATGTATATTTATAAAGACAAAATCTACCGCTTTATTTAAAAGCAAGCTTTCGGTCTGTTTGCGAATTTTCCAAGTAAAGCTTTCGCCTCAGTCGCCGCGTTAATAATTAACAGGGTCGAAATTTTCGAACAGGAGCAGCTTTTCAAAGCAAAACGTTCAAAAAGCTCCTCGCCTGGCACACAGTTAAACGAGCCGGCGCTTTCGTATGTTATTTTATTATTTGTTCAGAAAATTCGCCACTTTGTATCACAAATATAGAAGTATTGTTTTTAGTGGATGTGTAAATAAGTCCTGATTGACTTGGCGTTTCATCATTACGCTGTGCAAACATTCGCGAGTTCCTCGCGCTGATTTTTGACACGTGAAGCAAACATTTTATTTATTTTTCGAATTTTAATCTCGAGTTAGCAGCGCTGTACTTGTAAATTGCCGCTTTATTATTTACAAAAAATCAAATTGACCACCGGATCGCAAAGCCGCTCCGCGAACGTGATACACTTGCATAATCCGTTTCCCTTGTGGTATTTTTCAAGATGGTAAATAACGTGGAAACGATGCCTCGTGCATTACAATCTCAATGTAAACCGTGCATCATTACGGCCAGATGCAGTACGTGTTGTAGGTTAGAGAATTGGAATGATCTAAGCAGTTCAGATTTGCTCCAAACCCACTACTTGTGTTGTACCTAAATTATACGGCTTTCTTGGCCGTGATTGCCTGCAACTTGACGCCGATGCATTTCCGCGTTTTTACTTTCCACGAGAGGTCGGTAATGTAAGGCACGCAATCGGCTTTAACACTCGACAATCCCATTAAAGACGATTGCGAGAAATTCGCGAAGGGAAAGTGGACACGATATCGAGCCCTGAGGGACTCCAAGCAAGCGTGAAGCATCACAGATTTTTTCTTCACAACGGCGATCGGACGTTAATTAAACAAAAAGGCGATTCACACCTGTTGATTTTGTTTTTCGAGGACCAAAAAGTTACACGCGTGAGAAAAGACGGCCGCTTAAACAAAAGGATTATTTATCATCGGTAATTAACAAGACAGTAACCTCGGGTATTAAGCACATTTGTACACATAAAGGTTGGCCTTTGACACCGGAGGCCGTTTTACTCGATAAAGTGTGGATTTATCGCCACGGTCTCTTTGAACAAAAATACTAAAAGGTAAATGCTCCGTCGGAGGCAGCCGGCATTGTCATAGATGTTACTCACTCATATCCCATCTCTCCGAAACGAAAGTCAATTTACTTAAGCAAAGCCGTTTTTAGAAACTCATAAAAAATCTAGAAACACTCAAAACGTTCAATTTTTTATGTTTTTCCAGTAAAAATTTTATGCTCTGCCATTTATTCAGAAGGTGGTATGTACCTAAAGATATGGAGAATCAAAAATTACAAAAAAAACTTCTGTCAACAATTGTCGTATCGTTTGTTCCCTGATATTCCATTTCCCGGTTGTTGTTTTCTTTCTGCAAGCTAATGAGAAATGATTTGAAAATATTTTTCAATCTCCGTTCAGTGCAACCATTAGCAATGCCTTTTCTGACAGCCACTCGGGGTGTTTTATTACTGTCTATGTGAAACCAGGCATGACTTTAAAGTGGAAGTTATTAAGTTGAAAATGAAAATAGGATGCGTATTCCGTCTCCGTCCAATTTGTTCTCATATGCAAGACGATAAAAAAGTACAAATTCGTTTTATTCCAATTTCTTCCTCGAGTTAGATAAATTATTATAAACAACATCAGAATCTTCCACTTATCTCAACACAACTCTCGTTAATTTATTCATTGCACGTACGGAATTACGAGTACAATCTCGAATAATAACGATAATACAGGTAACCAATTAACCGGCTGAAAGATCGACTACTGTCTCACAAACGCTCGCCGATTAGAATATCTCATAATTTTATAGTCGCTCGTAATCGGCCGAGCAATCATCAACTATTAACTCGAATTGAATTTATGGCTTGTTCCAGGAGCCCTCACCAAGTCGCAATTCCCTGTCTTCACAATCTACGCTCAGAAGAACTGTCTCGGCGTGAAACCGTGCGAGAGGGCTTGGTGCATCGATAGAGTGCAAAACTACAAACTCCAAGGATACACCAGGAGCAAACTGACGGCTGCCACGAGACAAGAATGTCTTGAAATGTGTCTTGGCGAAACCGAATTCAATTGCAGGTGAGTAGGAAAGCTGGCAGACACCCCCACTCCCATCCCCACCCACTAGAGTGGCTTTTAGCAGTTGCCACTTTAAAATTTACGGTGTTAATGGCCACCATAACTTATTTCAGCACTCTTTGCCAATTGTGCTCTTGGAGACGCGATCATCTGTTAAACAGGGCTGGTTTTTTATTTCCGGACGGTTGCACTTATATCAGCGCAATTATCGAACGAATCTTATAATTCTGTAAACGATACTTTAATTCTTATTTATGGTTACGTTCGGAGGGAACCTGGAATTCCTCTGAGAAGGATTTTACGAGCCTCCGGCGAACTAAACTTTCCGAATTGGCCCGCAAGCCGTGAAAAACTCGCTCCTGGACGATTATATTATCGGAATTAATTCGAAGGGACAAAAATTACCTACAAAACATTCAAGTTATTTAATTACAAGAACAATGTAACGGTTCAAGAACAATCCCAACGTCACCGTTAATAAAAGGATTTTTTTTCAAACAGGACGTGACTAATGTCTAATGAGTGTGCCATGTCTTCGAATTTTTGTCACAAAGACCGTGACATCATTTAATTCAAAACGGATGTTTTGTTATTTTGTCCTCAGAAATTCAATCAGCTCGTGTTATTGTTGCCAAAAAGTGAAATATTTTGCCGGAAAAAAACACACCTCTAGATATCTAAATTGGTGAGTTTGACCGGTAGGGTTTATTGTTATTATCAAGCAAAAGAAATAAATTGTTTATGAGATATTCGCGCGAGAAAAAACACCCAAATCAAATGGAGGCATGCGTGCGTGTCTTACAGTAAATACACGTCATTACATTTTTCAATGGCGGACAAACTACCGATAAATAAAACTTCAATGGCCTAACGGATAGACATTTTATGAAACTTCACTCATTGCTTTTCTTAGGACGGACAACTTCATAAAAGACAAATTGTTCGCTTCGGAAGGCTACTGGAAGAAATTTACAAAAAAAAACAAGATTCTGAAAAGACGTGACCCTGACGGAACAACAGCACCAAAAAAGGCACATTCTTCACCATCTAAATAAGACAATTAAGCAAAATGTTCCGAATCTCGTTAGCTTATTATACTAACACTTAACTCAAAAAAACGCAGTGTTAATGATAATCTACCATCAAGCAAACAACTAAATTATCACATTTCTTCTCATGTGACCTTAGGTAATAGTCTACGATCTAAACTTCATCAATTTATGCTAAAAAAAAATTGGAAGAATATTCTTAAAAACATTAAGCACTTAAAACAAGAATGTCGACAAAGGCACCAAAAAAGCTTGTAGTTATATTAACTATAGATGTTCTATATCAATATCCATGTTGCTTCCAATTTGGCCAAAATATTGTGTCCTTAATACGAGTAATTAAAAAGAAATTATATACGACCAAGAACGTTAATTTACTGTGACAAAGTTGTTTTCTGCCTCTTGCGCTATGATTCTCGCGAATCGCTTTCGCTTCAAGATCAGTTCCTTGTATCTGTTTTGTGTTTTTTTTTGTCGTTTCTTTTCGAAATGGTCGGTTGACTGAACGTTCGAAGCTAAAAACCGTCCACGTCGTTGTTTTCTTCTTCTGAGTCCTCTCACGTCTGGCCACTAGTATGCGCGATCAATCACGAGGATAATTAAAACTGACACCGGAGCGAGTAATTGATTTTCACGACTTTTCCTTTTTAATCTGTTCGGTTGAATCATTTTTCTGGGCTGAATCCAAACCCTCGCTTCTTTCAATTACAGGAAGCGGTTTTGTTCGTCTTATTCCTCCTCGTTGGAACAGTGGTCATGTCAGAGCCGTTGTTATGGCCACCCGCGGTGACTCCGTCCAACACCTATGCTTCTAATTTATTCAAATTAATTTCCTCTGTCGAGTGGGGCAAAAATCGCGGAGGTGGCGTCGTACTCGACGGGCAGTCCAATTAGTCCTCAAGTTGCCAGTTCGAGACGGGACATTTATCACACACACGGCCTCGACAACGTACCATATTAACATTTTGATGGGAGGTAATTAGTAATTAGTGCAATGGTAGATGACGTGCATAAGGATCGAGCGTGCCGCGGCCATTGTATGGAGATGAGTCTCTTGCATTCGTTCTGTCTTTGTCCGGGTGAAGGATTTGCAAGACTGCCCCATTTATCAGGACGATCTATAGCTAATCTATCTACTCCCTTCAATCAGCCATCATAAAAGGATTTAATAACGCGCCAACACGAGGCTCCGCTTTTACGATATTTTTGCCGTTTGAGATGATAAATTTCATATCGCGATCGACTTCGCGTCTTCAAAATGATGTTTTAGCGGCCGGAGATGACGGAAATGCATTGCGAATCCCTCCAATCGTTGCCCTTAATGGACGACCGGTTTCGCTTTCCTTCATTTTACAAAGAGCTCGTCGAATTCGTTTCTTGATTAAAGATTTTCGCTTTTCATTAATTAAAGATTGCTTGTCCAAATCGCCATAAGTCACTGCCGACCCTTTCGTCACTAATAAAGTAATAATGCAAGTGTAGGCGTCTGCAGATTAGTCTCGTGCATTAGCATGTGATATAGCTCGTACATTATCTTGTCAGGGCCATTATTGGTAATTTACATTTACATGTCTCAGTTGCAGCTGAAATAATCACCGCCATTACATTACACTTAAAACTTGCGATTGGCATTTTTCTTCAGACGACCTCCCTCACCGACTACAAACAAACTAGACCAAATAAAACACAACGGAAGTGAGATCTAATCCTACTAATGAGATTACACTGTTCGAACACAATGTTTAATAAAATATCGATCGATTCCAAGTCTCTCGCTCTTAACCATAAGCGAGAATCGGACGATATTACCAACTTAAAATCAGTTCCAAATTACTTTACGTGATGTAATTTCGTGCAATTATCAGATAATTATCTGATATTTACTTCACGAACTCGTTAAGGATCTACGGAGGAACGCGGTATGAGGAACAAGGAAAAAATACTGAAAACGCGAACGATCCAAACCGCCACGACAAAGTTGAACACTCTTCTATCACTATACAAGGTCGCTTCTGCTTCAAATGCACATCGCCAGTTAAATCCCCACACCTTGACGATTTCCCATGAAGTCCTTAGCTCATTAGAGGCTTATAATTTTTTTATTACCCACACTAGAATTCCATATATAACATATATAATCTCAAAGTGAAGCTAAATCCCCCAACCATTTGGAAAACCATCAATATCAAGCGTTCCGTACCACAGGGCTCTACTTAAAGATCAACGTTGCTTCCTCTAAACATTTCATCTATCACAAATGGTCTAATTTTTTTTCTTGTCGTCTCCATTCACCAAACACGAACGGTTTTTTCTCTCTAAATGGTAAATTTACCGCCCAGTGAGCGTAAAATACCTCCGATATCAATCACGATGACTTCGGACAGCACCTGTTGGTGCTATTCGCCATTGTCGCGACTACTTAACCAACAGCAGTGTTGATAAGTCATTTCCAACCAGCGTTTTCCTAATTGCTCCATAAATTATGGTATCTCGTTCCACAGTCACATTGTCATCTTCCATGTGATTAATAAATTGGTAATTTCGCGTAATTGAGTCAAGGTGTGTATTCCCAGGACGTGTTTATCGCAGTGCGTGTGCATAGTAATTGCGGAAACTAAGGGTAAACACGTAATTTACTTTTTCGGAGAGGTTATAGAACCGAAAGTGTAACAATGTTGTGGTTTGCAGATTTCCGGAGGTTAAGGGTAATCGAGGATTTCTAATTTAGTTGGGGTAGTTATTATTAGAACGCTTTCAGCGGAAAGCTGTTTCATTATGTGCCGAAGTTTACTCGTAAAGGGACAAACTTCAGGAAAAAATAAATATGCGGGAAGCAGGTGGCGGGATTATATCGATTTGACATTTACATACTGTCAGTCATAAATGTATTGTTTTTATTCGCTCGGATTTTATTGTTTGATTTTAAATAAATTTACGGTTGGTGAACATTTCATTTCATTTTTTCCAGTCGATTGGCCCACGTAACAAATACAATATTTTTTTAATAAAAGTTTCACCAGAATTCGAGCAAAAATCGGAGAATATGAAGACTCCTTCTCGCGTTGCTAGTATCAGTTAATTGCAATTAGTTCAGGGTGGCTCTGTACAAGGGTGCCCAGTTATCAGCTCGGCTCACACTATTAAATTACATCGCCTATGGAGGTCAACCTTGCAAGACAAGCCACCCCGATAATTACCAAAGTTTGGGATGCTTGCTGTAACCGCATCGTCCTAACCTCTTCTATTAAAGCCGACAATATAGGAATTTGGAAATTTCTGAATTTAGAAAAAATTACGATAGTGTGCATTCTCCTGTGCAGCCGCCATAACTCATCTCCTTCAAGAGTGCGGAAAGCAAGTGCGATCCCTTGGACACTATTACATGGTTCGAACGTCTTGTAATCATAAATAATCGCATACGTTCAACGTCGAAATTTGCATGCGGACACTTCTTAACACGGTGGAAACATCGCACCAACTATACCATACATGGCACTTCCACCGGTACCCTCGTTAATAACGAAACGTGGCAATTAGCATGAAATAGTGCACCAAAGTCGTGTGTTAGCATAAACTTACTTTTTTCCGTGGTAATTCTGCGCGTGTTCGCCGGAATCCGGTGATGAAAAGCGCCCGGAGCTAGCGCTTCAAATATCCCGGAATTTTTTTACTCGACCGGTGCAATTCCTCCAGCATGCCGAGACAAGGCCGAAGCTGTACATATTAATTTGGAATTCTTGTCGGTTTTTAACCAACTATGGTTTTTTGCACAACTGGTTTTTTAGTTTAAGGAGTTTACCCTCGAAGGCGTTTTTTCTCACACGAAAGATTATCATTAACTCCAAAAGGTGTTCAAAATATCACCAGTTAAGTGGCTGTATTGTCTTTAACAAGGTAACGAGATACTTACACAAATCATAGAAATTAAGCCAAGTGCTAACTGATTGGCCA